AAGTTATAGCCGCACCTCATTTTGACAAGTATAACATATTATTTTTTTTTGTTACTTAATTTGTTATAAAAATATAGTTCATTCTTTAAAAAAAAAACACTGAAATTATGTTTATTCGTTATATGGAAGCTAATGCGAAAAAAAATTCTTAAAAATCAACGGTAATTTTAAGTTACTTAAAACTTGTACTATATTCTACTAGAATTGAATGAGCTGCAAAACTGCATACTCAGAATCTTTCTAGGAAATTTAATTCAAAAAAAAAAACTCGAAATTTTTAACGAAAGTTTGTTGATTTTTTTTTTATAAATATTGTTAAAGGTTTGAAACTTGGATGCTCGTGTACATCCACTGATCGACTGTTTACTCGAATGAAATAAAATTACAGCTGTTTTCTCACCATATTGATATAGGTACCTGTTATGTCCTTTTTTCGAAGGATGTGGTCGAAACTTTCCTAGTTAATTCCACTTGATATCCAGGCGTTCAAGCACCTATAAATATTAGATATTTACCATAAACCTAGCACCCACAAAATTCAATGTGGGACCCATAAAAAATCCGTAATTTTTAACAAATTGTTAAATAAACAATTGGGTATTATACTTTGAAGTCTCCTGAAGAGTAACAAAATTTACCGATTGATAAATATTGATTTTAAGGATTCTATACTATTTCTATGAAAATTAGTTTTTGCTCATATAAAATACACGGGAAACTGTGAGTGATTTGAGCGACCTCTAAATATTTTTTGATAAAAAACGGGTATATTTTTTCGATATAAAACAATTGAGAGCATTAAAATTCCGACATTAGTTTCCTCACATACATTTTTGGATCGCCCTAATGTAAATACACGGTATGCACTAGTTCTTCATGCTGAGTAAGTGGTGCTTGGTGTGTCAAGTGAATTTATGTATAACAACCAACCATCTGGCAACGCAGACACATACACATTTAGATATGTAAATTTCAGCTTATAAAAATACATAGTAGTTTCGTAAATCACTTTTATTGCTCTTGCTGTTGGTGTTATTCACATCAACGTTCGTTGTAGTAGAAGGAAATTAATCATGATGCAAGGAAAAATTCGTTGCACTTCAACTGAGTACAAATAAAGGAGTGACCAGATGGGCTAAATATGTATTACAAATTAAAAAAAAAATTGTATTTTTATTTTGGTCAAATTAAGGGAATTTAAAAGAATGTACTCTATTCATTAACGCGTATAACAAAAAAAAAATCTTTTTCTAGACATGTTTCATTAATAACAATTATATTCTGTCGATTATATTTTTGCTAAATGTTTGGCCGAACTTCTCCTCCACTTTGTCATATGCATCCTGATGTTATAACACAACTAGAGGAACCCAAAATTTAACGATAAATTCTATTTGTTCGTTATATGAAAGCAAATGCGATGAAATTCTAAAAAAAACAACGGTAATTTTTAGCGACTTGAAACTTGCACATTATGGGGTCAAAATTGAATGGGCCATAAAACTGTGTATTTCAAAAAATTCTAGCACTTCTGAGAAAAAAGTTTGAAATTTGGGTGAAAATTTGTAGCGGTCTTTTAAAAAGTTTTAAAACTTTTATATTAGTTATGTTATAGAATGAATTGTATTTTATTTGAAAATTCTTAAAAATAAATAATTAAACATAAGTGGCAAACAATATCACTTTTAAATGGGCAAAGGCAAATTTGCGAAATCCAAAAGAAGTACAGAAAATTCGATAAGGACAATAATACGAAATCTTCTAATTACCATCGAGTTCTTCTGATTCATATGGAGATGGATATATGTACGTTTTTTTCGCCTCTTGTAAAATTTCTAAAAATGGATTTAGCAACTTTTCACTCCAAGGCAGCGATATTTCACTTGAAACAAATCCTAAACTTTTAATAAAAAACATATACAACATACATAAAAAAATTAAATATTTTTAAGCAAAATATGTAATTTCCATATTCTGCGAAGCTCTCTCCCAGCCAAATCAGGCACTAAGGTTGTCAATGCCTTTCGATGGTCGATTGCTGTTAAATGAAACATTCTGGGCGCGTCCACCGGCGCTAAAGGCCGCTTAATTGGTCAATTCCTCAGTTGAAATCGGACTTTTTTAATAAAATGGAATATGGAGCAGCTCAAATTTCAATTCTCGATTTATTCGAAACAAAAAAAAATCGATCTTTTGGAGTCATGGATTAAGAAACGGTATCTTTGTTGTAAATACTTAAATACAAAGTGGTGATAATGATTATATTGGCAACCATTAAAATAACTAAGATGATATCGATAACGGCGTTATGATCACAAAAAAAAAAAATATCTTAATAAATTAAATATGATAAGGTAGACGAAGAGACCAATTCTCGTTCTATGAAATGGTGAACAGAAAATGAAAAATTCAAATTTAGTGAAAATTTTATTTTTTCATTTGTATCACATCATTTTATAATTCTGTGGTCATAAGCAATAACCGCCTAAATCGACTTAAGAAAGAATTGAGTTATATATGCTATCGTATTCTGCAACTACTATTCCATGTATATGTGAAATCCCCATCTCGCCAGCTAGGCTATTTAAAAAGTTATAGACGAACATATTTTGGTTTCCCCATAAGGAAGGATGGATAACATTACGATCAAAATGTTAAAAGCGTTATTTCTCGAACTCAGGTTTTTCGACTTAGGCGGTTATGGCTTATGACCACAGAATTATTGATCACTAAGGATTTTCCATAAACATCTAGATAATAATTATTTGGTAAATTATTGTTAGTAAAAGATAATCATATTCTTTGCCTAAAGATTATTGCCCTTATTCATAAAAAATAAAATGTGTCGGTGACAAAAATTTTTTTTACTGACAAATTTAAAGTTTTTCATATGTATTTCCGTAATAAAAACTGGAACAAGAATTTGTCACTGATACAGAATAGAGCCGTAATGGAGCTCTATAAAGCGACATTTTCATACAAATTTTCAATTATAAAATCAGTTAAAGTCTTCTTTATTTTTAACCGACTCAAAAAAAGAGGAGGTTATCAGTTCGTCGGAATATTTTATTTATTTTTCGTTTTTTGTTTTTTTTTTTTTGTTATATATAACTTTGGATGATGTGGTCCGATAATTCGATTTCGATAATTCTTATTTCATCGGAAAGATAGTACCTCAAGGGTGGTCCCATACTAATTGTTTAGATCCGATAATTGGATCTTGAAGAAATTAACGATAACCTTAAACTTTTTATGAGAATTGAAGTCGGTTTTGTTTTTTGCTTAAAAATTACTTGCAAATCGCCCCACTTATCTTTTTCACAGTGAAAACTTTTTCTCAAAAAATTTTTTTTTTCGTCTGAAAGCAGAATCGTAATTTTATGTGAAGTGATAAAAAATTTTTGCAACTTCACGTTTTCATAGTCCAAGAAGTGGCCCCCCAGGAACGGCTTTAGGCGTTATTTCATTTTCCACCATTAGTGTATTTAGTATACATATTGCTATGTCAGGATTATACACATAGTTAATTCACATGTAAATATGTATTCTTAACTTTCATATTCCTTTGTTCAAGTTTGTATGAATGTATATTTAGCTATATATTTTAGCTGTTTACATTTCAACTCAACTTTGTTCTACTCCCACTGCTGCAGTTTATTCGCAGTACTCCCACATATTGTATGTACATCTATACATACTGTATACGTCCATATGTATTTCGTTGCAAAACTGCACTTTGCACAAATAAAACTTGTTTGGATAGTTGTTTGTCCGTCGTCTGCTGGACACTTCATCACTGTCAGCTTCAACACTAGCACCCATTCCCCACACCTTAATTATACATACATACATAAGCTATACATATACTGCATTCAAGCATATTCGTATGTAAAATGCACATACTAGTTACACTGGGCCAGGAACCTTGCTTTCGTGACCAAAAGTATTTAGAATCGTTTCTCATATTGTCGACTGGATTGTTTCTACCTACGTACATGTGTATGTATGTATTTGCATATTTACATCTTTATATGTAAAATGTAAATTTATTGTTTTATTATGCCAGCTGTAAATAAATTTTGCTCTTATACATACATACATACATACATATGTATGTATCAAGTGTCTTGTTTTTGCTACCGTCAGATGCCATTGCCAAGCCATTTTTCATTATGTTGGCTCATCTCTGCCATTTGCGTGCGGGTGGGTGGTTCCTGTTTATGTGTGTGTATGCGCCAATTTGGCGATATTGCCAGCTCTGCAGATACATAGTATGTTTGTATGTATTTCGTACAATTACAGCTTCAAATTCGAAAAAAAATTTGGCCAGTTATTTTCAAAATTTAAATTCAAGAAGTCGGATATTTGAATATAGCAGTGTTATGCTTGTTAGCTAAGGTATATTAATTTTAAATGCATTAAATTTTTGAAAAAAAATGTCGATAATTAATCGTTATTTTGCGACCTATATTTTATCAGTCAAAAATAAAAATAAACATTTTATTTATTTTTTGAGTCAAAAATAAAAGCTAAAATTTGGCTTGTATTTTTCCAATAAAATATAAAATTTGTGTGTATTTTTGCGATCAAAAATAAATTTAATAAAATTTAATTTCATCGGCTTGTTTTAGTTAGAAACATTTTATTGCTACGTACAAACAAGCTATTAGTCATTTTTCCAATCATAGGCAGCGAAATAAAACAATAGGAAGATCGATAGTAAACTGCTATTTTTGATCGAAAAAATAATGTTAAAAGCTTATTTTTGATCTAAAAAATGTGTAAGTCAAATTTTAACTGTTATTTTAGACCAAAAACGTGACCGATGTTTAAGCACTTTTAAATTTACTAAAAATGTAAATGAAGCTCATAATTTCGTATCTATTTTTTGAATTATCTTACATTAGGATCTTGTATTATGTTGTTTTAAGATTTTACATATTTTCGAATAAGTTTTATAATCCATTCTTTCTATTCTTTGTCTTTTCTTAACAAAACAGAGCACGATGGTTCGTGGGGCCAAAGCTGATGCGAAACCCCGAGGCCGTATGACAGCGTACGCATTCTTTGTACAAACATGCCGAGAGGAGCACAAGAAGAAGCATCCCGATGAGACAGTGATCTTTGCTGAATTCTCCCGAAAGTGCGCTGAGCGATGGAAGGTGAGTTTCAGATCTTTTGTTTCAGCAATTACATATACATATATAAAGTACATGTTCTACAAAAGGGTATATATTGATTTAGTTTTTGTTATTATGTGCTAGAAACCTTCAGAGAAGTATGTACGTATTATATTTACCATTCCGCAAAGCGGAGGCAATAGTTTGCAGTAATTTGTTACCCAAAGCACTATAATGACTATTTTCTCCATGCGACCTAACATTAGCTAAGAGCTATGTAGTTTTTTTGCCTTTTCTGACAAGCATGAAATCAGTTAAGATAACTTTAAAGAACGTGGCGATAAGTTTCGGTAAACAAGGAACAATTATAACTTCGGGCCTATGACTTTCCTTAAAAACAATAAAATTATTCAGTTCATTTAAATATCCATGCCCATAGCAAATATCTACACCTAATATTCTGCCTTAAATTGGCTCCCAAAGGCGAGTTATATTGACAGGAATGCTGTCAGTGGCATGTTCTTTAGGTTAAAATCAGTAAATAATAACTAATTATTTATTTGTCAATGTTATTGTGGCTTGTTAACATTTTATTTTTAATATTTTTATTGAGCTTTGTACCACGATTGTTTATTAGGAAAAATTGAAAAAGCAACAAAGTCTAAGCGGTAGAAGTTATAGCACTATTTCGGAGATCACCAC